ACACACACACACACACACACACACACACACACACACACACACACACACTCATATCCACACAAGTAGACACAGATCCATACCCACCTTCACCCTGGTTCACACAAGCCCACTTACATGAGAACTCTCACAGGGGTCAGAAATTAACATAGACTATCCTGTCCTGTCCTGGCTGAGAGCATAGGGACCATACCTAAGCAGACTAGGAAACGGGTAGACGTGTCCGAAGAAGGGCCATGTCTGTAAACCCCCAGATGTGGAGGGAAACCCCCAGATGTGGAGGGAGTGATGGCAGCATGGGCCTGCAGGCTGCTGACAGACTGACTGGACCAGAAGCGGTTTCCTGTAAGCTAAATATGCTTCCTGGGTCCTCCTGACCTGAGTTAGAAATCACTGTCTGTTCCTCAGCCGGTTGGGGTGGGGGTAGAGGCTACTAAAAACACCTCGGGAAAGCTGGAGGGGAGGGGGCAGTGGCCACAGGACCCAGTCCCTCCCAGTTGCCATCAGTGAGACCAGCTCCTCCGCCTGCAAAGCCCGGGGGTGTTGCCCGCCGTGACCTTTGGCCAGCCTCTGGGCTAGAGCAGCCCACGGGAAGGTGGCAGTCTCTCGGCCAGTTTCACCTTACAGGGCACCAGCGCTGGGGGTTCAGATGAGACATGTTCTCAGGCAGGATAGGGAGGTCCGGAAGCAGAGGAGAGAGACTCAGGCCACCAGGCAACAGCGCCCTCCCACTTCCTGGAACCCAAACACAGGTTGGGTGGGGGAGGGGCCCTTTGCGGAGAAGCTCCGAGAAGCCCCTCGCTGGCTCTTATTCCTGGTCCCTCCCTTCTCCTGGGCCGAAGAAGAGGGAACTCTGAAATGAACTTGTGGTTTTGCTTTTGTTTTTACGAAGGTCAGGAAATTGAAGCCCCAAACTCAAGCAAGGATTTACTGCAAGGACCCTAACCCCAGCTGCAGTTAAGAAGGAAGTTTTGTGTTTCGTGTGAAAGTTGTATGTGCTCTCCGTTGTCGTCCCTTTCTGATGAATTCACAGCAGACGCTAACCGCCACACCCCATGCCACTGTAGGGTGAGAAAGAGCAGGCGCTCCACAAATGTGCGCAGAAAGACTAGAGGACGCGGGGGTAAGAAGTTGCAGGCGACCCCGTGGAGGTGGTAGAACGGGAAGCAAATCTGACAGGCGGCGGAACAGTCCAGAAGAGAAAACAAAATTAAGCAGTTCGGGAGGAGAGGGGACAAAGTGCTGGGTTTGTCACGATGAGTCATTTAATGATTTACTGATTTATTTGTAGGTGCACAGGGAAGTGTCTGCTCTCCCTTGCCAAGAAGACGTGGCTTTTCCAAGAATGGAGCTAGTGAGATGAAATGTCCACCACTGTGCGTGCAAGTGTATACACACACACACACACACACACACACACACACACACACACGCTCGCTCACTCACACTCATGTGCACAACACGTGTGTGCACACCCTCAGTGATGCCTTCCAGTTCCTGCTGACAGAAACTTTTTGACTGATATCCGTAAAAGAATTCCCTCAAAGGAGCAGCTGTGCCCAGCAGCCCGAGGCCACCCTTGGATTCATCCTCTTGAGGAAAGAGCCACAGACCCAAGGAGCTGCCAAAAATAGGGAGAAAAAGAAAGCCAGAGAGGGTACTGGTTTTGTTTGTGGCTCTTTGCTCTTTAAACACGGTTCTGTGTGTGTGTGTGTGTCTCCCTCATGTGTCTCTCTGTCTCTCTCTCTGATTCTGTCTCTCTGTGTGTCTCTCTGTCTGTCTCTGTCTCTCTCTCCCCCTTACCCTCTACCCCCAAACACCATGCAAACAGTCCAGCTACACTGGGCAGTGGGGGTCTCATTAAATTTACAAAGTCCAGAATTGGCCCCTCTGGCTCCTCCTCAAAGATGCAGAAGAAGCCTAGGCCTCTTGGTCCAGGCCCTGCAGGTGTGGTCTCTTCTGTCCCACAGCCCCAAGCTGGGGCTGAAGCAATAACACCAGAGTTTGGGGCGCAGCACTACGGTACAGTACTGGCCCAGCACAAATGAGGCCGCGCGTTCCATTCCCAGCCTTGTGGGGGTTCAGGGGGCAGTGGTGTGGTCATTACCACAAACGAGAGAGGGAGAGAAAAATCCTTCCCGGCCTGCCTGCGAGGAAAGTCACCCACCTTCCCACGGTGCAAACCCCGAGATTAGGAGTGCCGGGCGCTGGCAGGGCTCGCTTTAACCAACCACCCTCTCCTTGTCCTCTTCAGAGCCATTTAAGTAAGCGCAGTGAACAGAGTCCGGTCCTTCCCTGGTCGGACCGTGTTCGCGCTGTTGAAAACGGAGCGGCATGGTCCCCTGAAAACCACTGCCCGTTAGCAAGAAAAAGCAAGACGGCAGCAAACAACTTCCAAACATTGATCATAGGGGTCTTTGGGCCAGGGCTAGGGATTGCTTCTCGGGAAGTTGGAAGTTTTGGGCCTCTGCAGCGCCACCCATAAAGCTACCCCTGGTTCCTCTGCACCCTGGAGCCTCTAACTTGCCCGGCAGAAGCGAACCACGTGATTCAACAGAAACAAGGGCAGCGGCCCTGCTGCCTGACACACAACCTTCCCAAAGCACTGTCTAACTTACGTCTGTGTGCCGTCCCCCCACCCCGGGCCCTCGCCCCTACACACACACACTTAATTTAACTGCTTCGTTACATTTTCTTAGGAGCCGGTGGGCAGGAACCTGTATGGATTTGTTTCAGATTTCCAAATGGGTGCTTCCTGACAAAATGGCCCCAGCTGCACATCTGGCAATGGTTGCCTTTGAAGGGAGCGCTTGGGAGAGACTGTCTTTCAAAGGCCTTTTACCTAAACCTAATGCGACCACATGGGTGCGCTCCAGGACCTGCGTTCTGCAAACTGACCAAGGCGCTTTCTTCTGTTGCCTCGCCAGGAATTTGGACCTAAGAAAGGAACATTAAGAGTCTGTTGATTAACTTCTAGAATACAGTCGGGTTTCACTGGGAGAAGTGGAAGAATTAGGACAAACTGGCCACTTCCTATCTATGATCCCCACAGCCCTCCGAATCAAGATGAGCTAGGTAGGTTTTCTGTTCCTTTATGCTCCACCCTGCAGAATGCTTAAGGAAGAATGTGGAATTGCCAAACTTGCAAGCAACCTTGCAGCTTCTATCATGCTCCACAGCCTGACCTTACCTCTCACCCTGACTCCCCTCCCCCAACACACCCGACTAGAGATCAAATGAATTCCCATCTCTACTTCCTCCAGCAATAAACGGTGAGGATTACAGGGGTCACAGCTAACAGTGCAGTAGCTAACACACTATCAGTACTCGGTAAACAACTTGCATTCCAGCTTAGGAACCTGCAGCGGCGACAGAAGCCCCCTTCTCACATCAGCTGCTAATACTAGCAATACTGATATTTATCATGGCACACACGGCATTATGTGACGGCCTTCGCTCTGGTTCTTGCAGACTTCTGGCTGATAATGAAATACACCCTTACATATAACAGGTGTGCCACAGCCTGGCTCTGGTCCCAAGAGGCTTTGCACTGCCTTGTTCTGTGGGTTAACTTTGGACTAAAACTAGTGGCAGGTGATAAGTGCCACTGTAGGCAAGGGGATTATGGGATTATTATAATTAGTTTCACCTGAGTGTTTGAGTGACCTCAACCTTGAGAAGGCAGCTACGATGACTGTGGTAGTTAACCGTGAACCCCAAACCAACCGCTTCTACAAAGTCTCTGTTAGCCATAGGGCCCGTGTGAGCCGAAGCTTAGCCCCAAAGCATAGTTACTGGACTGTAGGTTTCTCCGGAACAGGACATTTTTGTGTTTTGTGGACACTGGCAGATACTCAGTAAATGTCACTTGAACTGCTAGATGGATAGATAGATATTCCACAACTGCTAGCCCTGAGAACAGATCACCATATGCTTGAGGGTGAGCTTCGCTTAGCTCCGAATGCTAGGTGGCCGGCTCAGTGACTCTCAATGGATGGCCCTGGAGCAGCAGCGCAGCATTGACTGAGGGCTTGATGGGGTTGTAGTGTCCTCCTACTCTAATCCAGATGCTCTGGCCAAAAATTCCCGGGGTGGGACCCATGCACCTGTGTCCTTACGGAGCCTTCAGGCAGTTCCAATGTAGAAGAAAATGTGAAAACCCCTGAGAGAGACCACATCCTGAAGTGCCCACCGAGTATGCGGTCCAAAGACTGGCCCTGAAGGCACAAATGACAAAAGCCGGTACTGACCTTCCCTAGAAGCTGGATACAACTGTGCAGCAAGCAGATGGCCTTGTTTCCTCCCCATTTTACAGACGAGAAAACCACCTGAGCCTACAGAGAGCAAAAGCGCTGTTGTCCAAGGCTGAAACCCAAGCTAAACTATTTATTATTTGTATGTTTTAGAGACGGGGTCTCATGTGTACTGGGCTGGTCTTGAACTCATGATGTAGCCAAGGGTGAGTTGAAACTTCTGCTGTTCTAGACTCTGCCTTCTGATGTTGGGATTCCAGGTGTGTGTCACTGCACCTAGTTTATGTGGCCCCGAGGATCAAACCGTGGGGCCTTGTGCATGGCAGGAAAGCCCTCTACAGCTGAGCTGCCCCCCCCCTGCCCCCCACCCCGGCCCTGCCCCCCGGCCCTGCCAACAGCAGCTCTTAAAGGTCTGCAGGAGACACAGGAAGGAAAAGAACGGTGACGATTGTCTGAGGATGTGACAGCGTGGGACTGAGAGAAAGCACTGTGACAAGGCCACGTGGATGGAGGGTGGCCTTTTGCAGAGGGGACAGTTGAACTAATTCAGGAAGAATGAAGAAGGCTTGGCCAAGGGTTCCCAGAGGAACAGGAAGTGCCCGAGTGTAGACTCCCCAGAGTGAACTGAGTAGTTCAATGCAGCTGGCCGGCTGGCGGGATAGCCTGCCTTGGAGGGGCCAGAGGGCAGCACAGAATGGATCTTCCCGAAGGTGTAGGAGTGTGCTATAAGACTGTGAAACTATCTATAAGCTGGGAATACAGTTTCTGTGGCAGACAATGTGCTTAACATGAGCAGGACTCTGATCCCAAACATTCATGCTTCTCTCTCTCCCTCTCTCTCTCTCTCCCTCTCCCTCTCCCTCTCCCTCTCCCTCTCCCTCTCCCTCCTCCTCTCTCTCCTGCCATCCTTCCCTCTCTCTCAATAGGCAGCCATAGAAGAGATATGAGTTACAGGGGTGACATAATTAAATTGGCATTTTGGCTTCAGGTAGGGCCTAATATTCAGGCAGTATTTACCACATGACTAACTATCCATCAGATATTAATTAAAAATGCATAATTTCTTTTTAAGCTTAGGTAGTGACTATAAGAAATATACACTTAGGGCCTGGAGAGATGGCTCAGTGGTTAAGAATATGTACTGTTCTCGCAGAGGACATGAGTCTGGTTCCCAGCACCCACATGGGGTGGATCACAACTGCCTGTAACTACAGCTCCAGGGGATGGGGCACCCCTTTCTGTCCTCTAGGACACTGTACTCATACACATATGCAAACACACACATATACACATAATTAAAAATAAAATCTTTTTATGTAAAAAAATCTACTTAGATAAAACCTACCAGTGGATTTAACCATTAAAAAGACACCCACAGAAGCGTTCATTTCTAAGTGTCAGTGTTGATTGGACTCAGGCCCAGCCATCCACTGGAGGGATCCATAGTTTCAGTGCAAGGCTCAGAGAGCTTGGACAAGTCGGAGACCTTCATTTGTTCTGTTGAGTCTGCACGGTAATGATTCGGAGGTTGAGAGCAGACCAATGAGAAACCATCTAGGGCATGCTAGCTCAGTGGCCAGGTTAGCAGTGCACAGCAAGAGGTATTGATTGCAGATGGCATCTGGCCTGGGGAGAGCATGGGTGTTCTCTTGTGTGAAGGCCTTCGGTCTGGGATGCCTTGTCTCATCCTGTCCCCTCTCCGGCTCATTAGAGGGCAGGGGAAGCTCCCGGATCACGTCCCATTCTGAAGTATACCTGTTTTTCTGGGGAGAAGAAATAGATCTGCCTTTGACTTTCCTTGGTTGCAACAATATGAGAAGGTTTCCATGGCAATAGAGTCTGTAGCTGCCCAGCCCCATCTCTTCAGCCCACCTCAGAGTTCCCAGGAAGTACTAACGGCTTCTCATCTCAGAAGTTCCTCGTTCTCTGCTCCCCTTCTCGGTGGCCTTCTGCAGATGCCGTCAGAGCTTGGTCAACCTACCTTCAGAGTGTTCTGGAAATCTCTGAAAGTTTGTCCCCAGAGCCAACTCTCCCCAGTGAGAGAGGGAAGATGGCATGTGAATCTCCCGTCTCTCTGTGGACAACTTTAAGGTGTCCTCTCCACATCCCTGCAGGGTCCTTAGTGGGCACACACAGTAGTGAGTGGCATGCCCATGGCTACACATTTGCCCCCCATTTCTTCCCCAATAAACCGCTAGTGTCTCACCTTCCTGGGGCAGGGGCCGTGTCGATACTAGACATCTCAAGAAGGCTGAGAGAGACCATGCCAATAGTTTGGTGGTGAAAACATGATGTGGGCAATGGTTTTGACATTCTGGAGGGTTGAGAGAAGGCTAGCCCACAGCAGAGAGGTCCAGAGAATGAAACAAGAGAGAGACGGATGGAGGAGGCGTTGGTATGGTAGGAGAGAGTGTGAGTGCCTGTGAGAAACAACGCCAGGAGGTGGCTGAGGACAGCTGGAGCCAGGGTGCCTCAGAAAGTATGGCCTTTCTGTGGCTGGAAGGGATGGTAAGGAAACACACCCATCAGTGACACCCCCACCCCCGACCCCCCGGCTGAACAGACCCAGAAGCTGTCGGCAATGGAATCAGGAGAGGCAGTTTGAACAGGAGGTTGGAAAGAGGACCCTGGAGACACCACAGCATAATCAGAGAGCTGGTTGTAGCTGGAGTGAGGTCCCAGCCCTTACGTGGGTCTCAGGAAATGAAGATGTATGGAATGGTCACGATGGCATGCCTACTGTTTTATCTTCAGAACAAACAAAGTTAGTGTTGGGAATATGCCTGGGCAATCTAGGTCAGCATGGCGCAGAGACGCCTGGGCACTCATGCTTGTTGCCACGTTATTCACAACAGCCAAGCTACAGAAGCAGCATTGATGCCCATCAACAGGTGAATGGATAAAGAGGATGTGCTGTGTATACATAATAGTCTTACTCGTCTGTAAAGAAAAATGGAATTGTGACATTTTCCCCCAAAATGGCTGGGACTGGAGATCATTGTATTAAGTATGTGTCACGTGGTGGGAAGACAAACTATGGGGTGGGGGTGCGGGTCTAGATGGAAATAGGGGAGGGGGTCATGAAAGCCAGAGGAGGACTGTCGTGGGGAAGCGTGAGATAAACAGAGCAGGAAGGAAGGGTGGCAGAAAGGGTGTGAAAATGTCGGGATGAACCCAGTATTTTGTACACCAACTTAAAGTTAATTTTAAAGATTCTTAAACCCTTAAAAAGAAAATAAACACTTAAAAAAAAAAGAACGGAGTGGTGGTTACAGTTAGTGCACAGGCCCCGAGTCCACAGAGCCTCCGCTGGAATGGAGTTCTGCTACTCACTAGCCATGTGGCTCTGAGCTTACGGTCTTCAAGCCTGGCTTTCCTGCCATGGAGGTGAGGAGCAAAGCCCCCTCACCAAAAGGTGATGGAGATTCAGTGATGCTTAGCAGGAGATGAGTGATTGTGGGGCTGGGGCGTGTTTGGTACCTACTAAGCGCTCGTTTCCATGGAGACACTGGAGCTGAAAGTCAGCTATCTGAAAGTGAAAAGGTCGTCAGGCCATTGACATCTCTGGCTGTGGGAGGACAGCCCAATGGGAGGGGTGCTTGCTGCTCAAGCCTTAAGGACCAGGACTGCGGTTCGATGCTTCGATGCCCAGCACATCATACAAATCCAGATGTAGGGGCGCCCGCCTCTAACTCCAGAGCTGGGCAGGCAGAGACACAGCCCTGGGGCTTACTGGCCATCCAGTCTAGCCAAATAGGTGAACTTCAGGTTCAATGAGAGGCCTTGCCTCAGTTGAGATTGATACTCAGTGTCCACCTCTGGCCTCCACACGTGTGTGTATTACATACATATGCACCCAAATGCACACGTACACACTAACCGGCTAAAAAGTGTCTCTTCTTCTTTTTACTACTTGTCTAAGATCTGCCTCCAGACTTCTCTTCAAAGTCTTACAAAAACATCTCCTTTCCGGAAGTTAGGACAGAGCTGGAACTGGAGAGTCACCTCTCTGAGTGTCCACCTTCACATACCCCATCCACTCACCCACCCCATCTAGGGATCTTTGCTGGCCAGTCCTCACAAGTATGCAATGATTCTGAGAATACAAGCACGAAATTAGGCCTCAGCCCAGTGAGAGCTAAAACTTTATGTCCCTCCTTCTGCAGGACAGACTTCTTCAGTTCCCATAAATTTGGGCCTTGAAAAACCAGGTCCCATGGCCAAGGTCTTGGGATGGTTAAATGGCTTTGCAAACAAAGAGCCTCTTGAACCAAACAGGAGGCTTGATGAGAAAGAGCTGGGCAAAAGCAGCATAGTTTAAGTCAACCACAAGACAGGACATCTAGAGTGTGGGGCAATTTTATTTCATCTCTGCAGCAGAGGAGCTTTGCATGGCAATTCTGGGAAACTTGCCTAAGAAATCAGCACTCTAGGCCTTTCTCTTCAGACCCAGAGGAGAATTCTCAGGCCCTTCATGAAGTGTCTCCTTAGCAAGCAGGAGAAAGATCACCATTTCCCAGGTGTGCTGTTTAAGAGAATGTCATCCTGTCAGTTACCTGGATCCCCTCTTGCTGCTAACCTAGGGTCCACCTACCTGGATCCCCTCTTGCTGCTAACCTGGGGTCCACCTACCTGGATCTCCTCTTGCTGCTAACCTGGGGTCCACCTACCTGGATCCCCTCTTGCTGCTAACCTGGGATCCACCTACCTGGATCCCCTCTTGCTGCTAACCTGGGGTCCACCTACCTGGATCCCCTCTTGCTGCTAACCTGGGGTCCACCTACCTGGATCCCCTCTTGCTGCTAACCTGGGGTCCACCTACCTGGATCCCTTCTTGCTGCTAACCTGGGGTCCACCTACCTGGATCTCCTCTTGCTGCTAACCTGGGATCCACCTACCTGGACCCTCTCTTGCTGCTAACCTGGGGTCCATCTCTTCGGTTTGTTGTTCTAAGATGGGACATAGCTATGCAGCCCTGCTGCTCTCAGTTTCAAAATTCCCCTATGTATATATATCAGCCCCCAAGTTCCAGAAATGGAGTTAGTGCCACCAAGCTGGACTCTGAGGGTCTCTCCTCCTCCACCCCACACATAAACCTTCCCTCCATCCTCCAGTCTCCAATATTACCTGGGGGAAACCAAAGTCAGTTGATATGTAAAATACCTTCCCCTTCTGAATACAACTACAAACATAAAAAATACACTTAAAACGTTGTTGGAAGCATCGTAGGACCTGGCAATAAGGACAACAGAAAACACCTAGACTGGCCATGCACTTTCAGCAGATGGGAGCTGGAGAGAAACACCCAGGGAAGATAGTGAGACCCTGTCTCAAAACAAAACAAAAACAAAAAAACAAGGAAGAAGAGAGGGGAGAAAGGGGAAGGGAGAGGAGAAGGAAGGTTGAAAAATCCTGCACCAAATAAAATACGCTTGTCAGAATTGAAGACAAAATATGCTTTCAGAAAAACAACAACAAAATTAATATACTACCAACAAAGGTGCATTTGTGTGTATGTATGTGTATGTGTGTGCACTCATGTATGTACGGGTGTGGTGTGTGTGTGTGTGTTTCTGTATGTTTGTGTGTGCATTCATGTATGTGTGTCCGTGTATGTGGTGTGTGTATGAAAACAGCTAATAATACATTAGCATTGTGTTTCTAATGTGTTAATAATCACATTAGGTATAAACAAACTAAATACTTCCATTCAAAGCTTTCATCCCAGGGGCTGGTGACATGTCTCCACGGCTAGGAGGACAGGTTACTGCTGCAGAGGACCTGGGTTCTGTTCCCAGGGCACAGCCTGTGGTTCAGGACTGCCTGTGACTCCAGCTCCAAAGGAACCTGATGCCACTGGCTTCTTCAGACACCTGCGCTCACGTGCACAGACCACACACACACACACACACACACACACACACACACACACACACACACTTACAAATAAAAAGAAGAAGCCAGGTGGTAATGGTGTATGTCTTTAATGCTGGGGCACTTGAACCGCAGAGGCAGGTGGATCTCTGTGAGTCAGAGGCCAGCCTGGTCTACAGAGTGATTTCCATGACAGCCAGGGCTGTTACACAGAGAAACCTATCTCAAAAAATCAATCGAAGAGATTTCATACTAAATGGGGGGAAAAAAGACAACTATATTCTAGGGGGCATCTGAACACAAACATTCAGAAAGGGTGAAAATTAAAGATGAAACTATTCCTGCAGTTGTGCAGTGGGGTTGACCAGTGTCAGTAAGCTATGCTAATGAGGTGAAGGCTGGATGATTAAGAGTCTGAAGCCGGGGGCTGGAGAGATGGCTCAGCAGTTAAGAATACTGGCTGCTCTTCCGGAGGACTCGGGCTCAATTCCTAGAAGCCCATGGCAGCTCACAACTCTCTGTAATCTGGCACAGACATACATGCAGGCAAAAATGTCAATGCACATAAAGAAAGAAAGAAAAAGAAAGCTGGGTGGTGG